TCTCCCTCCCTCTCCCTCCCTCTCTCCCTCTCATCTCACCGCTGCGTTGGTTCAGGTAGGAGATTGAGCTCAAGCTAGCTCAAATAAAGCCTCTTTGCTTTTGCATCGGACTCGGCTCCCTGGTGGTCTTTGGGGATCATGAATGCTGGGCATAAGAGGGGCCACACACAGCCACTCTCCAGCTGCTCCAACCTGCGACTCCCACCGAGGCTGGGCCAGCCGGTGGCTGAGTCAAGACTTTTGGGCCCTGGAGCCTCTGCAGGGATGTAGGCAACAGCAGGCCGCTGGTGCTCCCATGCTACTACAGACACAGAGAACAGAGACCTTCACCCCCAAAATACCAGGAAACAGAATCTAGCAATCTATGTAAAGAATAGCATACTATACCCAAGTTGGATTTATTTCAGAAATGAAATGTTAGCTTAACATCTGAAAATTTACTATATTAACAGAAAAAAAAGGACATCCTATAATTATCTTGAAGAGCACTGATAAAATTCAACAGCGATTTGTTATTTTTTTAAAAAGAAAAATTCTTTAAAAAAAATTTTTTTTAGGGGCGCCTGGGTGGCACAGTCAGTTAAGCGTCCGACTTCAGCTCAGGTCACGAACTCGCGGTCCGTGAGTTCGAGCCCCACGTCGGGCTCTGGGCTGATGGGTCAGAGCCTGGAGCCAGTTTCCGATTCTGTGTCTCCCTCTCTCTCTGCCCCTCCCCCGTTCATGCTCTGTCTCTCTCTGTCCCAAAAATAAAAAAAAAATAAACGTTGAAAAAACAATTTTTTTTTAATTTTTTTTTAGTGTTTATTTATTTTTGAGAAAGAGGGAGAGAGACAGAGTACGAGCTGGGGAGGGGCAGAGAGGGAGACACAGAATCCAAAGAAGGCTCCAGGCTCCTAGCTGTTAGCACAGAGCCTGACTCGGGGCTTGAATTCACAAACCATGAGGTGAGATCATGACCCCAGCTGAAGTTGGACGCTCAACCGGCTGAGCCACCCAGGTGCCCCAAAAAGTAAAATTCTTAAATCTGACCGAGAGTATCTACAAAAATACTACAGCAAATTTCGTACTTAAAGGTGATATGTTAGAAGGCTACCCCTGAGCTACTGACTGAGCCACCCAGGTGCCCCCATAGAGAACTTTTAAAGCTTAACAGTATGAAAAGAAACAACCCAATTTTTTCAATGGACAAAAGACCTGAACAGACACCTCATAACGAAAATACGCAAATGGGAGATGAGCATAAGAAGAGATGGTCAACACCATACGTCACTAGGGAACTGCAGATTAAAACAACACTAAGACTCCACTGCACACCTTTTAGAACCGCCAGATCCAGGACTCTGACCCCACCACAT